CATAAGTTGTGCATGGGTAGAGGTATGCACCCGCACTTATAGTTTCATAGCTGGTCGGGTCGGAAGGGACCTGAGCAGATCATCGAGTCCGACCCCCCGCCATGGCAGGAAAGAGTCTGGGGTCAAATGACCCCAGCAAGGTGTTCATCTAACCTCCTCGTAAAGACCCCCAAGTGGTGTGTGGGTCTGTGTACATGCATATGTACATACATAACTTGTGCATGGGTATGTACACACACACACACACACACACACACGTACATGCACGCACAAGTATGGGTGTGGGTATATATGCCCACACACACATACATGCGCACGTAAGTTGTGTGTGGCTATGTACACACACACATGAGTTGTGTGGTACAGGCAGACAAGGTTCTTTGGGTAAATATATCTTTTATTTGACTTGTATACACATGTGCACACGCACGCACGCATGCACACACATGCACACTCATAGGAAAGCAGGGCTGGAAGGGACCTCCCAAGGTCCCCTAGTCCATTCCTGAGCTCAAGGCAGGACCATCCCCGACTAACCCATCCTGGCCATGTGTCTGTCCCACCTGCTCTTGGAAATATCCGGGGATGGAGATGGGTGCCTGCTCCAGGGCTGCACCACCTGCAGCGCCAGGACCTTCCTCTTCCTCTTCGTCTCCAGCCTCAGTTGCCCCTGCTGCAGCTTGGGCCCATTGCTAGTCCTGTCCCCTGTGGCCATGGGGAAAAGCCCGTGTGCATCCTCTTTATAATCACCCTGCAGATATTTGAAGGCTGTTATCCAACCACCACCCCCGCATGCACACATATATACACACACAAGGTATATATACCATATATGTTATAGGTGACCATATTTCCAGGTCCAAAAAAGAGGACACCTGTTGGGGGGGCAGTCACATGCATGGTGCCCCTCACTCCCGACCTGCAGCCCCTTGCCCTGCTGCCCAAGCAGCTCCCGCATTGCACTCACCCACTCTGTCTCTCACATACACTCACTTACTCTCCCCTGGCTTCCTGGAGCCCATGTGGGGAGCATGTGCCCCACAACAGCCAGCCGCCTTTCCCGCTGCTCCCAGCCCCAAGCAGCAGGCCAGGGAGAGCAGAAAACCTGGATATTTGCTCTTATTTCAAAAACCCGCTTAGACATAGCACAGGGGTCCAAAAAAGAGATCTGGACATATGGTATGGTAACCCTAACATATGCACACATGGGTACACACACATACACATATAACTGCATTAAATGTACTCAGCAGAGAAAATAATTGCCAGGATCAGGACGGTGCTGTGAGTATTCAGCAACATGGGTGTGGAAAAGTGCAACTTTTGAGTTGCTTGCTTCATTTCCTAATGGCCCTTTTGGAAAGCTAGAGTAAAGTATATTTGAAATAGCAAAGGCTGTTAAACCGCTGCAGCGGTAACTCGGTTTGCATGGAGTCCTGACTATGAAAGGTAGGGGCAGGGCAGGACTGAGGAGCACCAGGAAGAGCTGCACGTGAAACTGGAATAACAGGAGTTGCTGCATGTTATGAAAGGGAGGAGTGTTAACAAAGCCATGTGCGTGTTGGCATGTGAAATGACAGCGGGTGTTGCAGAATAGGAGCGAAGGTGTACACGTGTGGATGTGAGGGGTTGGGATAGCTGTGTTTTGTGACAGTCTGGGTGGAGCTGCATTGACCAAGTTAAGGGGTTGGAGTGGGATGCGGCAAAATTGCAATAGCAAAGGGTGCCAGAACAACCATGTTTCAAAAGATCGGCCTGTTGTGAAACCTGGAGCTGGGAGTGGGACTTGACACCTTTGTAGAAGGACCTTTTTTAAATAACCAGCATGATTTAAAAGTAAGAGGAGGCTTTTCTTTTAAATGTGTTGAGTTTAGACTTCATGGCAGTAGAGGCGCTGAGAGCATTGGCAGGAGATAGACGCAGCAATTAACTGAATAAGTGTCCCTTGCCGTTGCCTACAATCCCCGAGCAGAGCCATGAAGAGCTATTTACTGCATTACAACTATACCAAATAGTCACACGGCATAAATAATGGTGCAGAGGGCACAGTCCTGCTCCCATTAGAGCTGTATTTGGGAAGCACCTAATTTTTTTTCTATACAAGTGAAGAAGATGAAACGCCTGGAAGAGTATAGAGCAGGAAACAGATGATAGCTCATTACTGACCTGGGCTGGGTTTGAACTGGTGAAGTAGGCTGCCTCAGAACAAACATTCGGGACATTTCCTGCCATTGCATTGTCACCGCTAGGATTGCTGGTGTAACTGTGGGAGATAGCTTGAACAGTACTAGTGGCATACAGCTGTACGTGCTGTATTAGCCAACGGTGGTTGCTCAAGAAGGAAATCCTGTTTTCCCAGCTTCTCTCTGCTCAATTCAGCCTGTAATTTGTAGCCACATGTTGTCCGTACGAGTGGTTGCAACTATTGCAGGCCTGTTCAACAAGCTGTTTTGTGGTCTTCACAGCATCACTGCAATATGGATGCCTATCTCGTGCCCGGCTCAGATCCAGGAAGCAGGGGGTTTGCAATGGTAGTGATCTACAAAGAAGAGATACCTGCTAAATGTCTTAAATGGTGAACTATGGAAGGTCGCAGATACTATGTGAGATATAAGGGCAAGAAAGGTGTGAGGATGGCTGCATTGCACCTTATCTAGCAAAGCATTTAGCAGCATTAAATGAGAGAAACCACGGCAGCTCCACAGTCGATACGAGCATACAGGGGATGCTGCGTAGCGTGGTTGTGGAAGGAACAGCAGGGGCGTTGTGGGGCTGTCCTGGGAATTGCTATTCCAACGGCCCCACTGCAGCGCCAAAACTTTGTAAAACATCATATCTACCCAAAGAACCTTGTCTGCCTATGTCCTCAGACCAACACGGCTACAGTCAACAACCCTTTCCCTATGATAGCTTTCTCTGACCCAGCTTATCTTCCCTCCTGTAATCCTGCTGTGATCATTAGGAATCCAGTAACCTCTTCCATGCCAAAATGCTCTTACTTTTCCTCATCCCCAGCAAGCACAACAAAATCCTCCAGCATAGACAAGGCTACTGATGAGCTGGTGAATTCCTATTACTTCAAGGAGGTAAAAAGCGCAGCGCTATGTCAGTGATCAGAAGAGGGCTGCATTCATTTGGGAGCAGCCGGCATCACCTTGCAGTTGCTACCCAGTTGCTCAGTTTGGTACCTCTTATGATGCACTTGGCCTCTTGTTTTGTGGGAAATATAAAGCTTTAACAGCAGCCTAAAAGTTTTGAAACAAACCTGCCTTAATACCTGAAGAATGTGAGGATCAGAGTCTTGGAAAGTGTGAAAGTGTGTTCCCAGGGGTTGCTGGGTCGTTGGGGTTGTCAGCCTGAACTGATGGATGGGGCAGAACGAGGTGGACACGGGGAAGCTTGATGCAGCCCCTTAAGCCGGGTAAAGTGTGTGGGGCCTGCTAACCCTGTGCTCATGTTCTCCTGCAGGATGAAAGAGTGGTGGATACAGGTGGGGCTTCTGAGTGTGCCACTTCTGGCTGTCTACCTGCACATCCCTCCCCCAAAACTGTCCCCAGCCCTTCACTCATGGAGATCGTCGGGAGGATACTTCACCTACAAGGCCCAGAACATCTTCTACAGAGGTGAGGTTTGCCAGAGCTCTGCATCCTCTGTGGAGCCTCTGGCATGTCCGGTCAGTCGGGTAGTCCACAGCCTGTGATCGCCCAGCTCCACAGGAGGCACATCATCAGACCTCTTTAGTGCCAAAAGTGTCTTGTTGCTTATAGATTTCATAGACATCAGGCCTGGAAGGGACCTCGGAAGATCATCGAGTCCAGCTCGGGTCACAGGATCCCAGCAAGATAAACATCCAAATTTCTCTTGAAGGCATTCAATGTAGGTGCTTGAACCACCTCCCATGGCAGGCTGTTCCAGACCTTGGGGGCTCGGATAGTAAAGAAATTATTCCGTATGTCCAGCCTGAAACGGTCTTGTAGTAGTTTATGACCATTTGACCTCGTCATCCCTTGGGGTGCTCTGGTGAACAATTGTTCCCCCAGATACTGGTGAGCACCCCTGATAAGCTTATAGGTGGCCATCAGATCACCCCTGAGCCTGCACC